TTTCAAGTTGTTAAAAATTACCATTGATTTTATAGATTTTTTTTTGTGGGGGTGTTGCTGTTTTTTTTTCATAAAAAAAAAATTGTGATCATGTGTTATATGGGAGAAAATGCGAACACCCTCCACAAAAAAAATTCTAAAAATTCAACGGTAATTTTTAATGACTAGAAACTTGCACTTTAGTGTACTTCATTGAATGGGCTACAAAGCTGCATACCCGAAAATTTTCTAAATTTCAAAATAAAAAAATTGAAATCTTGATAACAATTTTTTTTTGAAGTTTGATTAATTTTTATTCAATTTGTGCAAGCTTTTAAACTTTTATTATTGTGGTTTCTGTTATAGATTGAATTCTATTTTAAAGAAAATTATTAAAAATAATTATGTAGTTGATCGCATCTGTGTGTACTACAAGCATCCATATGCGCATGCCTAATAGGAAGAAAGTTAGTTGCAGCTTTTTTCACAGATACCTATTCCACTGAAAATGATGTGAAAAAGCTGTAACTAACTTTAGTGTCAACTTTATTTTGACCATGAATGAGCCCCATTATTTACATGTAATACGAGTATTGCAGTGAAAAATCATCATTCAACACATTGGTCCGTATGCATAAAAGCTAAGCAATTGCTTTTACTTAAAATTTCATAACTTTCACTTAAATTTATTTGATCAAATCGAGTAAAAGGTCTGAGATTTTAAGAAAAGGTGTTTGCTTAGGTTATATGCATATGGCATATTTTCTCGAAATAACTGTTCATAAAACTCAAACATAACTTTTCGAGAAAAACCACTTTGCTAACAAGTGCAATTGCTGCTTTTGTACGTTTTTGTCAATGTGTCCATCTTTAAAGTGAGTTTGGGAAAAAACTAAGGCACTTAGAAAACTGGAGTTTGTTGCATTGAAAATAGCGCAGCAACTACAATAAGAATCGTTAAAAAAAAAAAAACGATTTTTGCGACCCAAATGCCGACGGCAAATCACCAATGAGTTTGCATATTTGCATAGCTTTCACATATTTATTAGATAACAAATCTACGTTTTGGAGTTAAAGCATTCCCTGGCATATGTTTTAGTAAATTAATTTTCATTAATTTAACCAAGAATTTTAATCTTTTTTTTTTATTAAATCAATGCCGCGAAAAAGAAAATCCAAACCAAAATACTTAACATTGATACAAATTAACAAAATTGTATCTCCGCTCAGCTCTGTTAACTTGCCGCTCAGATCTGTTAATTTTCCGCTCTCAATTTTCGTTCGAGTGGTGAGCTTCTAGAGCGATTTTGGTAGTGTTTGACAATTCACACGGCTATTCGTAATTGCTGCTTCTCTGTTTTAAACGTTCTCTGGAAACTACAAACCACTCGCGTCAATTTACTACCCACCTCTGGTTTATTTATTCGTCATTGTTGATAGCGAAAAAAATTTACATATGTGATTATGATTTCAATTGCAGTTCCTTCTCAATCATTCGGTTTCTGTTTTATGTTTTGCATGCTGAATTGAATAATTCAATTGACAAAAATAGCCAGCATTGCTATGTATTAATCATTCGGTATTTACAACCAGCGAACCGCTGCAATTGCTTGCGTCAAAATATTTACTTACATATGTATGTTTGTAACCGTAGCGTGGTATACTTTTTCTTACATAATGCATTTGTGCATAGAACAATAAACTGCATTATTGAGTTGGTGTGTCCATGAACGTTAGGCTAATTGACTTAAATTAAAATGTTTTGGGGTAACTAGCTTAGCATGTATGTATACATATGTACATAGTACATAGTCGTCATAGATGTAATTAAGAGGAAATGCATAGTATTTACGTTTCAAAAATCAAAGTTACATGAACTTAATAAAAATTTGCATATAAGCATGGGCCCTCACTCAACGCCTTTTTGTTTCTTTATGCATTTTTTTTAGTTAAAAAAAAATATTTGGTAACAATTCTTTTGGCAATACAAAATTATACACAGCAGCAGAAGTTTACTTTACTTTTTAAGACAACATTACCTACACCTTTTACATTACCATTACCGTTGACGTTATCTTTACCATTACCACGACCATTATTAACATCATTACGATTATTATTACCATTACCGTTATCAACACCATTACCATTTACAATGCAACTACTATTACCCTTTCCCATTAAAATGACGACGTCATTACCATTACCATTATTTACTATTTCCTTTACCATTAGCATTACCATTACCATTACGGGTACGACTACCGTTACCTTTACCATTAGCATTACCTTTACCATTACCATTACCATTACCAATAATAGCAATACCATTACCATTACGATTACTATTGCCACTAAAATTACTATTACTATTACCATAACCATACCAATTACAATTATCATTACCAACATCATTCACACAACAATAACGTTATTTCTACCATTGTCTTTAATAATTTAATTATAAACGCCTATGATCTAAGCACATACATACCTATCTCTGACTGTGGTTATTCCAGAGTGACCATTTACTGTCCTGCGTGAAGGTTTCATAGTTTCGCTTCCGTTATAGCTGCCAAGCTGGCGAAAAAGCGAGTCCCCCAAGTACTTGAGTTTTGCCTTGTCTGGAGAGCGAGACATTGGCATCGGAAAGGGTTAAACGATTCCTTCTCTGCCAGCGTTGGAACTTCTCAGTTCATTAATTGTTAAGCCTTGACCATAAAGGCCTCGAGACTTCACACTCGCGACTGTCGCCTCTCGATTGCTCCACCGAGCATTTGTTAGGGCTGTGGTGTACTCGTAAATTTACCTCAGCGATCATTAATCAGTGGTTTTAGAGGATTATGTATATGCTCCGTTGAGCTGCATTGATTTCATATATCTCCGTACCAAGTTCCAGTTCTCTATTATGGACACTTCCAGAGATATGCAGGTTGAAATATTCGCTTTATATGGAAGGTGCCCTTTCCAATAGCCCCACTTTTTTTACATGCGACTATGCGATTGATTTTATATATTACGACCCTCGTGCGACATGTGAAGCATTCCCGTACAGACTCGATCCTATTACATACATCGTACAGTAAGACATTTTTCTTAAACCCTGACTAGTTCTTATGATGAACTGAGGTTTTTAAATAAAACAAAAACAAACCTGACAAAATTATAGCATTTTTAATTGGTAACACTTCGAGTGCCTACCCCTGTATATATGTACAAATAGATTTTTTATTATTTATTTTTAATAAAATTAAATACCCTACAGCCGGTTTCACGAGCAATTTAATTTTAAAATGCTTTTTCTTTTCTGTCAATTTCCATATAAAATTCAAATAAAAACTAGTAATTTTTAGCAAAAAAAAAACGGACTTCAACTCCCATATAAAATATATATATATATATATATATCTCATGATCCGCTGATCGGATCTTAACCAGATTAGTATGGGACCACCTCTGAGACACTACCTTTCCGATGCAAAAAGAATTATCGAAATCGGTTGACGTGGTCCAAAGTTATGCGGTAACATACATAAAAAAAAAAAAAAAAAAAAAATTTTCCGACGAACTGATAACCTCCTCCTTTTTTGGAAGTCGGTTAAAAATTAAAATTATTTTTCATTAAAATTGGTTTCGTAAAATTGGCTGTTAGTATTCCAAGAATTCCTTAATTTTTTAGGGTTACAGTTATATGTAAAAAAAAAATTGCCCATATTGATTACGAATAAATTTACTATTGCTATTACCATTATAGAAATGCAATAAGTTTTAAATTTAAATTAATTATTTCGTTAGAAGTCGGCAAGCTCTTAACCCTAATCATTCAATTAAATGTACTGCATATACTGATCGCTTTGCTAGCTCAATGCATTAATTTAATAATTAATTAGTTAAATGACAGCGAACACATTCTTTATTAAGACTGTTTGTATGTCACTAATATGAGCACGCGAAAGCTGTCATTTGGATCATTTTTTATAATTTACAGGTTATGTTGTATACATATAAATCAATGGTCTTATTTATGTATGTATGCATGCGTAATATGTAGTTAGATTTAAACAAATTATGGTATTTTTTTACCGATAGGATTTTACATAAAAACTTACATACATACGTACATACATACCATTTCTCAGAGCCACGCGCCACAATCGCCACCAGATTTCACTTAGGCAAATTTCGACAAGTCAATAACCGAAGTAGATAACAGCGACATAAAAGTGTGGGTTAATGCAGTTATATGGTCAGCGAAAGAGCGTAATGCTTGAAATACAATACCGGCGAACGGCAAACTTCGCCGAAATGGGCGATGCTGTCGTTCACCGTTCGCCGAGCTATTTCGCCTACTTAAACAGAATTAGAGCGGTAGCGAAAACAGCTGATCCCATTTGGTCGCCTTTATAATTTGGGTGACCATATTTAGAAAAAACTAAACCATATTTAGAAATGAGGAAATGATAACAAATATAAATGTAAAACAAAGAAAGATTATTATAAATAATTTGTTTCAAGCCAGATTTAATGAATCCACAACTATATTTTTCAAACAAAAAAAAAAATCGTGTTTAGGTTGTTTTCTTTAAAACTTTGAAAGCAAAAAACAAATACGGCCACCTTTGGCACGCACAGCTGTCATCGCCCAGTAGGGCGATAGAAATAAATCTATCGCCATGAAACGCCGCCAAGCGAACTTCGCATTTCGCTTTGGCTGTGTTCAATTTCATATGCTTGCGGGTGTTCTAATTTTGACAGTGCGAATTTCGCTGTGGTGAGTTCGCCGTTCGCCGGCATTGTATTTCAGCTATAATGCTGATTAATTATTCAAATTTTCGCAGCCAAATCTGTAATGTAGTACAATAAAAAGGACAAAATTGCAATTGCATTAAAAGTGTGCACAATATTCAAAACAAATGACTGTCTTAATATTTACTTAGTTATTCTTAAAATACTTAAGCTCTCTTAACCCAACGAACTTGCCATTAACAAGCTTACTTACTGTGGATTTTTCTTACAGCGAAGTTACAGAAGGTGCCTTACAAGTATGGCGTGCGTTGCCCGAGCGTATACGTCAGGATCCGAGCTTAGCATCGTTTCGCATGGAACATGAGCGTCTACATGGCGGTAAGTATAAACAAAAAATTAATTAAAGCCACGAAAGCTACTTAAGACGCATGAAAATTGAAGAGGTCTTGAACCATACCAGATAGACAATCAACAGCAATAAGTTTTGTATCATCTAAAGCTAAAATTACGGGAGCTGAAATTAATATCGACTATTCGTTTATTCGCTACCCCTAGTTTTTAATGTTATAGCGGCTCCACTAAGCCCTGCCTAAATCGGTTGGTCTATCAATGGTTACCATCGAGCTCAAAGAAGTTTGGTTTTTTCGAAAGGGTCATATCAAAGGGAGTTGGGTGTTTGCTAAGTGGGTTTAAAGGGGCAAGTGAAGAAGTAGTTGACATCGCATGTTCACATGTTCAAGCTTATCCTGCCACAATATCCAGATCGTAGCAGGGTCAGAGTAATGCTAGGTTTGACTAATGTATGATTTTATTTTGTACCATAGTACAAAGGGCGGCTTTCTGATTTATCAAGGAAGCTTGTTCTTCATCATTTAAGGGGAAGAGCACAGCTTGGTATGGTAAGGAAGGGCCGCGTGCCAATATCCACCTTAGACGAAAGATCCATATGACATTTTAGCTTTTGCGTAAGGAATGGCAAGCTAATGTGGGTTCGTTCGCCTTTGTAACCTCAGCAAAGGTTGATTTGGTCCTTTTGAAGGGAGTGAATGTGCTCCTCTGCTTGCCAGAGATGTTCTATGCTCCTCTCCCTTCTGCGTGAGACAGCCACACACTCCAGGAAGAGGTGAAATGGAGTCTCCTTTGCAGCGTCTCAGACATCTTAGTTTATCCTTAGGGAGGTAACCTATTTCTTTTATATTATACCCCCCCTAGTTAGCTTTTAGATTGACGGAGTCCCATAGTATTACGCGAATGCAGTTCCCTTAGTTTGGTATTTTCATTCCTCAGCGCTGCTTTTATCATGTTGGAGCCTATTGAAACGAACGGCTCCGGTCCTATCGGCCAGTCTGGTAGACCGATCCGTTTCTTCATTTCCATTGGCTTAAGTGTCTCTCAACACACTCCCGGACCACTGAGGCTTTGATCTCGAAGGATGAGAGCGCCTTGAGTGCCGACTGGCTGTTGCTTGAAATTAGGATCCTCTTATTTCGATACTTCCTTAAAAGGTTAATCTCAGCACACAGACTGATGGCATAGACTTCCGATTGATAGATGCTAGGCAAGCTTCCGAGGAGCACCGAGAGCTTCAATCAGGGGTCGTAGACGCCTGCTACAATCCGTCAGGAGTTTTAGAGCTATCTGTTTACCACTTTTCTCATCTGGACGTGCCTCTCCATAATAGTGGTACTCCAGGTCGCCTTGCTATGTGTTTCAATCTTCAAGTTGTTTTGAAAACTATTGTTATAGGCATGTAGTCCCTGGAGACCAAAACTAGAGGGAGTTGGGAGCCCAGCTTTTCCCTGTTACTGAACAGATGAAAAACCTAAGCTTTAAAAAATCCCCCTCTCGCAAAATTAACGAGAGTCCTCTTTGCAGCTCGTTCAACTGAAAGATGCATTGACTCAAGTTCCAGCATTACCTCCAGCTCCTGGACTCCCGTTTCCAGAGTAGTCCTGGAAGCTCAAGCCATCGCCCCATGTGTTACTACTGGTCGCATTATAATGATGTACATCCATCTTAGTATTCTTATAGTGCAACCCCAGGATTTTCCTGCTAAACGTGTGCACACCATCAGAGCTCTCGTAGCTTTGGAGGTGGTCGCCTTAACATGAGTCCTCAACAGGACTCCAGGTCCTCCAGGGTAAGTGCCAGATACTTCACTTCTGCCTGTTTTAGAATATATCAGCATAAAGGAGGTGAGACTTATCGTCCTGAATGACTTAGCAAGGGAATAGTCTCTCTTACCTACTTTCCCGATAAATATATACCTGGACCACTGCCACACCTCAGGAATGTGGGGCAGTGCTACAAATTTTCTCATCCTTCAACTACGAACATAGTACTATGTACCAGAGCTGTGTAAGTGTGAAATCATTTTCAATTTTAAATCAACAATTTTTTTCTATCCAGTTTTCATTACTTATTCTTCGCTTAGGATTGAGGTTTAAAATTTTTGAATTTTCCATTCCCTCAAAGCATTTATGAATTCACACATCAACATATTCATAGCAAGATTGAAAAAACCAATGCCCAATCAAAAAAAGGTTTAACACTGAATGAGTATTGAAAAGGCTGCAATCTTTTATGTGTGTGCATTCTTTAACTCAGTACCAATCATTAGTTCAAAGCCACCCTGGTAAATAACTTTTTGATAAAAAATGAAGATTTTTGACAATTGCTCAATTGTAATAATTCAAACCGGCGTTACCCAATTTAAGTTTTTTGGTAGAGGGGATTTTATATCATATGTTTGGGATTATATATAAAACAGTTGTATTAACATTTACGTTTTAAATATAATTCATGTTTTATCTTGAAAATGTTTAAAATTTACATTAAATTAGATAACTACTTCGCATAAGCTTTACATTTAGGTTGATAAAATTTTAGTGAAAATATTTTAAAAATCTTAGTGTCTTTAATAAAAAAATAGCTCATCATAAAAATTGTATCGCCGTTCGGCGTCGGCGTAAGTTTGTAGGTCCCTTCCATTTGTGTGACAGCAAAGGCGCACGCTACAAATCGGAGGAGAAGCTCGGCCAAAACTTAGCAAAAGTGTCAAGGCCAAAATATGATTATTATAAATAAATTTAGTTTCAAACAGGTCGCAACCCTCAAAACCCTCAAAAGTATTCCCAATATTATTTAGTTGTAAACCCGCATGAGTCCGAAATTAACATTTTTTAGCAGAATTTCCAGATTTTACCGGAAATCGTACATGGTTTTCTGGCAACTGAGAGGACAAATAAGATAGTAAGTAAGGTCATCTCTTTGTCAGAAGCTACCTGGTGGTAAATTCTGGTAAATGTGTCAAAAGATCCGATATAGTGTGTTTGACAACCAAATTGTAAACAAAATAGAAGTGCACTCTGCTAATGCATGTTGAAAAGTAAATAATTCCTTGCTTGAGTGGATGCTAATGAGTTTTGGTTAAATTACAAAACGCTTAAAAAGGTATTAGCCGTCATTTTATGTTTAAAAACTTTAAAACTTTAACACATTACCACCATATACTCTATATGTGGTTGACGATTGAACTAAATCGTTGTTTATTTGGGTAAGATTAAAATATATTTTACTATTCAATATTGGAGTTGGTGTGAAACAAAAATTAATAATTTATTGTTATGTATGCAAATGAGAACTACAATTCTGAGCTTATTGAGCATCTCTTAGTCAAAAACAAAGGCAATTTTGCTTGATCAAGTTTCGAATCTAAGAAGAAAATGTTTTTAACAAACAAAAGGTTAATAATAAAATTTGAAGGATTTAAGATATTGCGTATGGTAGCATGAAACGTCACAATCTTCTTAATTGTCAGGCTGTTGATATGGCTACGAAAAAGTGACAATGGAAACACATAGCTGAAGATTTCATACTTACAGTGGGATAAACTTCAAACCTCTAATATAAATTAGTTAAATTTAGTTATTATTTTTTTTTATCAATTTTAAGTTTTCGTTTGGAACAATTTTCATGAGCTTATCCATTAGGAGATCTCTTTGGTAAATTACCGTACATCCGATATCTATTGAAATTTTGACATCCTCACTTTTTGGAAAAAGAAGTTCAAGATACAAGTTTATGTGCAAAAAATAAATTAAACAATAAAAGTCTCCTTATATTTATGGAGCTTAAAATAGAAAAATTTTTATTTCATTACCCAGACTTTATGAATAGCCTACTCTATAAGTAATAGTAGAAATTCCGAATTAGTAAGTTCAGTCAAGACGTCATTCAAAAGTTTTGAAGAAAATCACTTTTCTCTTTTGTGAAAATTTGGGACTATCTTATGCGAGTATTGTCGACAAAATGTTAGTCTATGAATGACTAAAAATTAACGAATAAATGGTTAATCGCGATTAATGATTAAAATTAATTAGGCGATCGCAGTGGTGTAGTGGTTAGAAGTGCGCACTACCATTCCGCAGGGTGAGCGTCCGAGCCCAGTTCCGGCCAACAAAAAAAAGAAAATTTTTTTGTAATAGTGGTCGGCCCCCGGCAGGAGTTGGCGTAAAACTGTAGGTCCCTTCCCTTTGTGCGACAACATCAAGGCGCATGCCACAATCGGAGGAGTAGCTGGGCCAAACACTAACATATGTCGATGGTCCTCTGCAATAACGGCGCAATTCAAAATTTCAGGTTTAGATAAATACATAATTTGAAAGCTTACAGTATGACTGCATATAATCCGGAATAATTACGTTCCAAGACATATTATTGCTAAATTACGAAACAAAAAATCTTTAATTGGCTCTACTGAAATATATGAAATTTTTAGTTGTGTCGATATGTAAGCGCCTTTCTATTATTATTAGTAATCATCAACACAATTTCAAATTACATAAACCCAGTCACAGCCCTTTTTTGTATTCAACGCTTCCAGAAATCACATAATACATAAAATAAATAAAAGCTGTTTTGATTAATATTACATAAACTGGAAACTGTTAAAAATAAGTGCGCTTGAGTACATAGATTAGAACCCATTTAGTTCCTAAAATGTCTGTTTGCAACACATAACAATAAAAATGCACATCAAATAGCTAAGAATGATGAAGGAAATCGTTTCAGACATGCCTGTTTAACTGGCCGTGCGTTCTCAAAACAAACACATGTTAATTAAGGGACTATTCAAGTATTATGTAACCACTGGGACGCGGGGGTCTTGGTTTGCTTATTTTTAATGACAAGGGGCAACATTTCTTCAAATAAGTAAAACATTAATTACATACGCACAAATTTTGCCTGCAATTTCGATCACAATTGAACACTGCACTTCACTCTCGTTTCGAATTTTCGAAAGCGTTTTTTAAGCTATTTATGGGCTTAACACTTCTTGTGGGCACTTGATATTGTAAAAAAAATATGCGCAATTCGATCCCTAACTACATTTTTTTTGTAAAGAACGCCCGTTTGCTTTAAATTTGAAAAATACAATTATTTTTTTTATTTTGTATACATCTGTCATTTGTTACAAATGAAGAAAAGTCCAAGAGTTGCCAAGTATAAATATCTTTATATCTATTTATTAAAATAATAATTTACAATAATAATTTATTTAATTAATACTTTATTAAAATACAAATTTGAAGTGCAAATACATTTGTAAAACTGTTTATCACAAAATGTTATTAATTGTTTGCAAGCATACTATAGTTTTCATGCATTTTGAGAATAAATAATCTAATATGTGTACATATATATCGTCGTTTAAAGTACAAAACCGCGTATCGTCATTCTGCAAAACCGTGTGACTGACATTGGCTGCCAAAAATTGAATTTGCTCACAAAAGCTCTTGGCTCAATTCTTATCCATTCGTCCTGAAATATACTAGCCAGAAATACGTTTGCTTTATAAAAAAGATAACCATTTTGAAATATGGGTGACTTTACTCTATAGAAAATAATTTATACAATTACGCGGTTTTGCATTTTTTGATACGCGGTTTTGTACTTTAAACGACGATATGTATAGCATGTACTTACGGCGGCCGCCGTAGCAGAGTGATTACATGTGCGTACTTCCACTCCATAGGACCATGGTTAAATACCTGGTCAGATCATAACCCAAAATAGCAGTCGTCCTTCGGCACGCAATGGCAAACCTTCGAGTATATTTCTGCCTTAAAAACTCTTCTTATAAAATCAGAACTCATGCCTCAAGTTTGAGCAGAAGTTCGGCCAAACACTTAGAAAAATATTTTAGCACCAAATATTTATTTGTTTACTTATTTTGAGGGAGATGGCAATCTTCTGGTTTCACATTTTGAGTACAAAAATTTCAACCCTGATACAACAAATAGTATTAGTACTGAATGATATTGACAGATTGCATTCCCATAAACGTCCAATCATACATGAATGAGTTCTCTTTTTGCATTCACATTCTCTATGTGAATGGGTGTCAACCATTCCATAACACACTACATATTTTGTGTTTACAATTTGTAACCAATCTCAAGAGTGGTTGTTAAATTTTTTAAATCAAACAATCACATTTTTGAAACGAAAAAAATGAGAATGCACAATCAATTCATTCAATCATTACACAGCTCTGCTATGTACATACATATGTATGTAGTTCAACTGCTTTCCTTCATCTTCTAAAGCAATAAATAGAATTTAAGTACCATTTTTTATTGCTTCAACGCGTAATTGTAATCATTGTTTTATTATGTACGTGAATTTTCCATCCCAACCATGACCGCTATCCGCGACACTCGGAACCATGTAATGACATGGAGTTAAACCCATAAATATACAACACCTACGCTGCTTTAAATATGTCATACGTGTTGACGATGATGTCTGGGTGCAAACATCCTTCGGTTCGGAGCACATGGTTGAGAAACAAAAGCACGGGCGCCCACGAACTCAGTGAAAGAACCAAGTGCAGTATATGGGATGAACACCTGCCACACCTTCACAAAAGAGAGAGGAAAATAGCGAAGTTTCTTGGCCTCGGATCAAACCGACAAATAAGAATAAAAAAGAAGAACTCTATTTAATTTCGTATAAGGAATCTTTTTGTAAGATGAAGATTCGGAAGCCTATTCCCGCCCCTTAGAAACGTTATTAATCCAATGAAACCTCTTACGGTTTCTTTCTCTGTATTACCGCCTATTATTTCGTCGGTGCTCTACCTGTTCAGATGTAGTCTGTTTAAAGTGGCATCCACTAAGAAGCATTCCTTCTTAGTTTGTATATTTTTAAATAAATAGAAGAAATTGTTGCGTCGATTCACAATGTAATAAAACGAGGCTGTTCTCAACATAATAATAGGAGTGAAGAGTGTGGTGCCAGCGAAATGGAGGCTAGAGATGATTTCCCTCAGCCTTTGGGTGTGGTACTCAGCGAAATAGTGCGACGGCATCGGACCATGATTAGGAAGGAGGCGAAAACCTGTTATACCCTTAGTATAGCAAAATTTCTTGGGATATTGGCGTTGTTTATCTTTGTCTGAAGAATCGAACCATGAAAGACGATAATCTAAACACAGTTGAAGTGGCGAAAGTCGAGAAATACCTGGAACTAGAAAACTTGTCACATCCTGCACTGCTATTTGAACGGGAAGTTGCAGCAAAATGCACAGGTGCTAGAAGTGAAATAATGCATCATTTAGAATTCATTATGAGGAATAACAAAAAAACGTATCTACAAATCTACAATATACATACCCATGTGGGGCACTCATCTCATCTTATAACTAAGAAAAAAAAACAGCGTGAGTTCCAGGTTCTCATAAAATTTGATGTGCAACCATCTGTTTGCGGAGTGGCAAAGGATTAGGCGATAAAGTCACTTACATAAATACAGAGGTTAGGTTAGACATTAAAAATTATAATAATTTGATTCTGTCTGTTTTCATAACTACTTCGGGAACAGTGCAGCACTTTTTCTGTTTCATTTCGTTACTAATCTCGAACTACTCCGAAATTATCCCGAGCTAATCCCCTAATTGTCCTGTAGAGGCCCCGAAAAAATCGTGAACTTGTCCCTAAAGGATCACGAACAAGTCTTGAAACGGTGCCAAAAGTACCCTTACTAGTCCCGAATTGATCCTGAAATGGTCCTTGAAATAGTTCTGAACTAGTCCCGTCCTAGTCCCCAAATTAACCCGAAGAAAATAGTCCTGAAATAGTTCCGATAAGGTCGCTAATTAGTCCCAAAATAATGCAGAACTATTCCCGAAATGGTTCTGACCCAGGCTCGAAATGTTCCTGAACTAGTCTCTAACTGTTCCAGAACTAGTCACGAAATTATCCTGAAATCGCCAGAAGTTAGTCCAGAAATGTTCATATGTTCACACAAGAAGGAATTGCATATTTTCTGCTAAACTACACATGAAGCAGTTACAAATTTTCTGCTGGGCTAATGCAAATTTTAGCCATCCCGAGAGATGACATGTTTACTCATCAAAAATTTAATTTAGCGATTAAAAAGCACACAACTTTAGTCTACTTGCCATTATCCTAGTCCCGCATTATTCATTTTTAGAGGACACCAAATTCTAAACATAAATAAGCAATTACATTATTTTTTGTAACTCGAACACATTAAGCACTTAAAATCTTGCTTGCATCACTTCTTAGAGAGTTGTTATTATTATTATTCATACAAATTACATCTATAAATTCTCATCTCTCATTCGACGCCATACGAGTAATAAGTAATGAGGACATTCTTGTATGAGAGCAACGAAAAAATACGAAGTCACGTGCCAAAAAAAAAATCAAATTATACGCGCATGGCAACGCACAAAAACAATGCCAAGCCATAAACAAGGAAACGTGACGTGATTGAGCGACATAATCATCAATATGAACACTTGTCAAATGTCCACTGTCAATATTTTACTTATATACTATGTACATTGAAACAAGCTGCGATATATTTAGATATTTTCAACAAGTAACTACATTAGGGTGGTCCAAAAACAGTAAAGTCGGTATTGTAATGATATCACCCCTAAGATTGTTCAATATCAAAAAAAGTATACCCCCTTTTTTTTTGACACACGCAGACACACGCAGTTATTTATTATTGCTTTGATGGAAGCACATTTCTTTACCGTTCTGAATTTCCACCCACGCAGACTAACCCCTAACGCTTGTCCACTCCTCAGATTATTCTTGTTTATCTTCTTATTTATGTTCAATGCAAAAAGGAAATCAATTAAGTGGAGTGTTATGTGGTTTTGTAAAAAATATTGAGCATAAAATTTCATTTTAATTTTTCTCGTTTTTTTTTACTCTCGCACACAGACTTAGACCCCTTGCCTTCGCCGGATATGCCTGAACACTATGTTAAGGCGTCGAATGCTTTTACCAAGGTGGGCATCAATGTGACCAATGAGCTGGGACAAGTGCGCATACTGGAAGTTAGGTAAGTACTTACATGGCTATTCCAGGAAGTGGAAATCACATATTTGATTGGCTTATTGTATTCTATTGAGTTTTTCGGTTTTTTTTTAGGGACATGGAAAATAATGCCGACGATCATCATGACGAGCACGATGAACCACATTCGCGTAGGAGGGTGAGTTATTCTCTCATTAAGTCAGTTAGATAAGGAAAATATTTTGTAAGTAATACACTAATATGAACTAACATTCATTGACGTCAAAAAAAGGCGTGAGTACCGGTACTCATGAAATTTGAGGTGTAAACATCTTTGTATAAAGTTGCATAAATAAACTAAATAAATAAATAGACTAGGACAAATTAATAATAATTTCATTAAATTTTATTCACTTTGCCTGGACCAGTTCAAGACTTTTTCATATTGTGAAAAGTCGTGAGCTTGTCATGAAAACTGGAAATGCTCCCGAAATAGTCCTTACTAGCTCCAAAATCATCCCGAAACGCTCCTAGAATAGTCCTGAGCTAGTACCGAAGCGGTCCTAAACCCGCTCGAAAATGGACCAAAACTAGTCCATAAATGAACCAGAACTAGTCCTGAAGTAGTCTGAAATGGTGTAGAATTAGTCCCGAAATGGCCCCGAAATAGTCATGAACTAGTCCCGAAATGGTCCTGGACAGGTCCCCAAATTATTCCGAAGTGGTCCTAAAATAGTTTTGAACAGGCCCCTAAACGATCTAAAAAGTCGTGAACATGTCCCTAAATGATTTCGTAAAAGTATTGAAACGGTTCCGAAATGGTCCCTTATACTTTGCCCCATCTTACACGGGAGACTGTAAACCAGACCAGTGAACCGTAACATAAAATCGGACATGCCAGTGATGTGCACATGGAGAGCAAAAATTTTGGGTTCTAATCTTTCTGAAATATATACATTAGGGTGCATCACCAAAAAAATTTGCGGTTTTTCCACCGGAATTATAAAAAGTATTATATTTTAAGACTCTCGCCAAAATATTTCGGGAAAATATTATGATTTACGTGAAGTAGACCGATTTGCAAATCCCTCCAGAAAATATCATTATTTTGATTCCGTTGATAAAATTTTTAAACATTTCTATACAAACCTTTTAAGCGTAAAATCTTATGTTGAATTTCCTCTAGGCATTAAATGGCAAAAATGACAAAGTTGGGCATTAAAAAATAATCATGTCATACAATTTTTTAATGGCATACAATTTTTGTCATTTCAATGCCTAGTGGAAATTCGGATTATATCATATGAGGCGATTTTTTAAAAACAAATAATAATTTTTCAAAATTAATTTTATTTATACAAAACTAGATTTTTGGAGGTATTTTCAAATGGGTTCAGCTTAAGTAAATCTTAATATATTTCCGAAATATTTTGGTCTCAAAATATAATGCTTTTTATAGAACCGATGGAAGAACAATACTGATTTTTGTTTAGATAGAGAGTGATGCACACTAATGTACTTACGAACACACCATACCATACCACTTGAAATGTTTTGTTCCATCGAAAGTTAATCTATACGTTTTTCTTTCCATTCTTTTCCTTTTAGAAAATCCTGAAGTGGTTTAAAATTTCTGTGCTGTTGGTAGTTTGGGCTGTGTTTACTGCATTCCTAATGTCGACTACCGAACATGTCGACGAACTCAGACTGATTAGTGTTCCTAGGAGCGGTGAAGAGAAATGTAAGCACAAAATATTCTTACCCCCCTCCATTCATATAGAGATCGTTAATTTTTAAACAACCCCTCCACAGTATTCTCCGTAACGACCGCCACGCTATCGCGTCTTGGCCTGAAGTTAAAGGGACCTTTCCGTCAGCAAGAATCCTCCGATTCGGTTGGCAAAAACAAGAGTGCCTACTCAGCCGCACCAGCGCTGCATGCGCAGATACAACGAAAATACTACAATGCCAGCGGTGATGAAATCTACGTGGAAGATGCATCTACGGTTTGGAAATTATCAATGGTCTATCCAGAGGAATTGGATACCGTTAAGGAATCGTGGAAGGCCAACAATTATGGCATAACGCCAGCCGCCGAAGAACTGCTGCTGCAAGCCAACTACACACAGTTGAATTTGCGCTTCATCGCCAACATCGATAAGGAATTCCCACTGCAGCTGTGTATAGATGAGTCGCCCATCTACAAAAAGGAGGGTGTCATCTATGCAGCGATCGTCTTGTGTGGCTTGTATATAATGATAATTTGGGAAATTGTTAATCGTACCTTCGCGGCAATGATTGCCTCAACGCTGTCAGTTGGTATACTGGCGGCGCTCAATTCACGTCCCTCCATGGCGACGATAATGGGTTGGATCGATGTGGAAACGCTGCTGCTGCTCTTTGGCATGATGATATTGGTGGCTATACTCTCGGAGACTGGCATCTTCGACTATTTGGCTGTGTATGCTTATAAGGTAAGTGGGAGGGAGGTGAATGAAAGCGGGAAAACAATTGAGTTTCTGACTTAGTATATAACTCCCATTTTATGTGCTTTGCAGATTACGAACGGACATATTTGGCCGCTTATCAATTGCCTGTGTCTTTTTACGGCGGTACTCTCCTCTTTTCTGGACAATGTGACGACGGTGTTGCTGATGACACCAGTCACTATACGCCTCTGTGAGGTGATGTCGCTGAATCCGGTGCCTATTCTGATGTGCATGGTGATCTATTCGAATATCGGTGGTGCGCTGACGCCCGTAGGTGATCCGCCGAATGTGATAATTGCTTCGAATAATTTCATTGCAAGAAATGTATGTATTGGTAATACTAGCGAGACAATTCTGGTGAAGATAGTTGAAAGTCTTTGGAAGAAATTGAAAGACAGTAGGCAAGATAGTTTGAAAGATGTTTATTCTGGCACGAAAGTCTTACAAAGAAAAGCTCGCTTGCCAACTTTCATTATCAGAGATCCTTTGAACAGAAAGCACTTGAGCATATTCCAAATACATAAATACATATGTATGTATGTATAAGATTTTATTCGCGCTGCCGAGTGAGTAAAGCACGATCGGAAGTTTTTTGTTTAATTTATTATTTTTTTTATTTAAGATATATAGATAGACAATATATAGAAAAATATATGATATTTAATCATTTAATTTTTAGAAACTCATTTACAACCAATTTCACGAAACCAATTTAAGTGAAAAATGATGATTTAATTTTCTGAATTTATATGGAAATCGACTGAAAATAAGAAATAATTTTCCATTTAAACTTATTTTTATTTTTTGTATTTTAAATTTTTCTCTTTTTTTAATTTAGTGTTAGGATTTTTTAAAAAGAAAAATATTATTTGTTGCGCTTAATTTGATTTTTATAAACTTATATTTTTTCTTAATACTATTAATAGAATTTTTTTCCGCTGTGAATTAAATTTTCTTTTAATTTTTAGATGCTACTGTTTTAAAAAGTTGAGTATTTTTTAACTTCATTAAATTTTTTGGAATCTTATCTGATTTTTTTTTAATTATTATTTGTTTTAAGTTGATTTTCTCTTAATTTTTATATCTCAGTGTTATAAGAAATTTTTTTTTTTTTTTATTTCATTGAAGTTTTAGAAGAATATTATTTTTTTCTTTTGTAATTTTAATATTCGTTTAATTTTTAGATTGTATTATTTTAAAGAAAGGTATGATTTTTATTTAATTTTAGCAGAATATTTTTTTCTTTTTTTATTTATTTTTTCTTTCTTAATTTTATCTTGATATTTTATTGCTTTTAAAAGAAAACTATTTTTTAAGTTTCATTTAAATTTTAGAAACTTACATGTATATTTTTTCTTCTTTTCATTTGATTTTGTTATTTGATTTGCTTTTGATTTTCAGATTTTATTTTCTTAAAATAATTTTTTTGATTTCAGTTAATTTCTATTATCTTACTTATTATTTTCGTTTTTTTATTTTATTTCTTTTGTTAATTAAATTTTGTTTTAGTTTTAAGGTTTGATTGTTTTAAGAAAAGAAAAAATGTTTTTTTTTATTCCATTTAAGTTTTACAAACTTTTTTTAATTTATCTTCATATTTTTTCATATACATTTTTTTTTTGTTGATTAAATTATCTTTCAATATTTTGATTTTATTGTTTTAAAAAGAGATATATTTTTATATTTAATTTAATTTTTAGGAACATATTTTTTTCTTTCCTAATTTAATTAATGGGTTATATTATTTTAGGAAGAAAAATATGTTTTTTAATTTCCCTTAATTTTGGAAACATAGTTTTTTTCTTAATTTTTTTTTTTAATTCATATATCTTTTTGTTTAAAAAGTTATTTTATTTCATTTAATTTTTGGACATTTTTTAACTTTAATATTTTTTCTTTGCTTTTTAATTTAATTTAGTTTTAGGTTTTATTGTTCTTTTAGTTTGTAGTTTTTATTGATTCAGAAAGAAAAATATATATATTTGTATAAAAGACGAACAGAATAACGTTGAGATCTCCTCGTTAGCAGGTCTTTCAATTAGCCTTTCGAGAGACAGAAAATAGCTTTCAAGATTGTTCCCAGAATTGAGAATTGTCTTACGACGGACTTTTGTCTCTGCCCTGTACATCTAACTGTGATACTTATGGTATCTTTTCTTCCGAACGCAGGGTGTCAATTTTGCCATTTTCACGCTGCATATGCTGCCCGGTGTGATATTGGTGATGATACAGACCTATGTGCAGTTACGTTTTAAGTTCCGCAATACAAACGATTTACAATTCAAAGACTCGCCCGAGGTGGAGGAGCTGCGTCACGAGATTCACGTGTGGAAGCGCGCAGCTCAAAGTCTTTCGGCCTATTCGAAGGACGAGGAAATTGTACGTCAAACGCTGATGAAAAAGGTGAATCGCTTGAAGCATAGCTTGAAGAAACGTGTCTCGGAGGCTGGCGAACCGGCGCCCAACTACAAACAAACACTGACGCAGCTGCAGGCGAAGGTAGCACCTAATTTTTTTTTGTATCTTTTTTCTTTCACAAAACTAAATTATTTTCTTCCCTTCTTCACCTTTCGCAGTATCCCATTCGCAACAAGTCGCTGCTCATCAAATGCTCATTCGCTCTCGTCTTCGTGATAAGCTTGTTTTTCCTGCACTCAGTGCCCGAATTACAACGCCTCTCGTTGGGTTGGACTGCTCTCTTGGGTGCCATATTTCTGCTCATCTTAGCCGATGTTGAGGATATGGAAGCAATATTGGCGCGTGTCGAGTGGTCTACGTTGCTTTTCTTCGCCGCTCTATTCATACTTATGGAAGCTCTATCCGAATTAGGTCTCATAGAATGGATTGGCCAAATGACAGAAAGCATTATTTTGGGCGTGAGCGAAGGTTCTCGCCTAATGGTGGCGGTTTTAATTATACTTTGGGTACGTATAGCAATTTGGGTGATACTGATCTACCGTACTTGCATCTTGTTTTCCTTTTTTTGTTTAGGTTTCAGCCATAACCTCTGCATTTGTTGACAATATTCCACTAACAACGATGATGGTGAAAATCACAATTTCTTTGGCCGAAAATTCTGCGTTGAATTTGCCACTGCAACCACTTGTTTGGGCTCTGGCCTTAGGTGCTTGTTTGGGTGGTAAGTACTTTACGGAATATAATATAAGCACTAGCTCCCTGGGGGTTGGTTTTTTTTTTTGTGTTTCCACTTTTTCTACATACTAAATTTTTCGAACCTCATGAATGGTTTTTGTGTCCTTTATAGATTCCTTGATTCTTTCAGTACTGTTCGAAGCCTTTTGTGGATTTTGAAGATCTTATTCCGCCCTATGTTGAATATCGTCATCGTTAGTAAAAGTGACGATACGGCCATCGTCAGCCATGTTACATATGCGCTGACGATCGTCGACAATGACGATATTCAGCATAGGGCCGATTATATAGCCGTGTGCCAAGGAACGAAATTACGAAAGCGGCAGACGTCGTCACATAACTATTTGGGGCTGTATTCAAAGTGATATTCCAAATGTTTAGACCGCAGCCTTGCATCTTTTCACCGATGGGGTTGATAAGAACTGCGTGATGTAATGGTTAGCTTTGTCGAACTTCCTTTGGATCCAGTGTTCCGGTGTTGGCGTAAGTCTAGCCGTCCACCGATTGCTTCTTTTACTGGACTATTATTCCAATTAATTTTTACTTTGTAAGAACTCAATGGCTTTACCTTGCTTAGCTATCTATTTTATGGCAGTCGAGGTCCTTATAATTTGATCAGTATGCACGGACAATTTTGTGTACGCAGAGCTGACCCGATGAGCTGTGGTTCGCTGATTTGAGGTTGTTATTCTCAGGCGGCGACTTACATATCTTTAAGATGCCTTTTTGTCTTTCTCTTGCATTGTGTGGATTTCGAAGCTTACCCTGTTTGTGCAGGGAATTTCAGCCTGCGGTCACATTTTACTCGATTTCGAGTGGTATATTTGTGAGAAACACAACTAAGGATTTCTCTCCCACCTGTTCGGTGCTAGCGTTTTAACCATGATCTGGTTAAATTTCTTACGCGCTTTTATAATGAATTGTATTATGAATAGTACTACCCTTTTGAATTCCGGCTCCGATGATGAACGATAGTCCTTCGGCAATATCAGTTGCTTCTGATGACGGGATTTTAGTAGTCTTTCGAATAGTTTCCTTGTATCAAGCACGAAATGAGGTCGGAATACCTTTGGCTTAACTGTTTAAAACCAACTGCTACCATTTCCAGCTACCGAAAAAGATTCCTTCTGAGAGGAATGCATTATACATACGGTTACCATCCATCCTTTATCCTCTGTTTTACCCATCTGTCCTTTACAGTTTTTTTTTATTTAAAGTACGCATCCTGTCCTTTATTTCTTAAACCGCTCTGTAAATGAACTCCGACCTTATGGGGTTTGGTCAGCTCAGCATGCGCTGGGGGAAGACCTTGGAATGCAAGGTGGATTAACCCTTCTGAACACGATTAGATCGGAGTCGGTCCAGAGTGGTCTTCAGAATAGAGACGGGTGCGGGATATAGGGACCCGCGCAACCCATGATACTGATTTCAAAATGGCCGGGATGGGCGGTATCGGGAAGGTCTTAACAAATTTTTTCGGCCGGGATGGGACCAAAATCCGTTCCCGACTCTCCCAATAAAACCTGCGACCTCCACAAATTCAGAAAATCTACATTAAAAACGTTTTTATGTTTTATTGAGACGAAAACGAACAGTGATGTTAAAAAACTAATCGTATTTATTATTTAAAATTGATTTGAAAGACATGTAAATTAACCTCGGTGATAGATTTTGGGACCCACGGGACCTGCGGTACAATTCTGAAACACGACGGAATGAGCGGATTCGGGACTTCGAAATTTTATTTCTGGATAGGGGAACCTGGATTGAATATTTAGTTTCATGCCCATCTCTACTACCATCTAACTGTTCATTGCGTGATAGCTAAAAATGCGGTAAGACTGAATATCATCCATTACCCTTACTGTGTCAGCTGAATGGAGGATCGTGAAATGAAATCACCTCAACACCCGCTGCTCGAATGCCTTGCCTCTGTGAGCCTTAGGTTCAAGCACCTCGCGTTCCACTTTTTCTGCATTCCCGATGAGCGTTTTTCTTACAAGAAGTCTTATGTGTATTCCTCCCCCACTCCCTCTGCTTACATTCTTTCCCTAAATGTTCCGTCCTTTCTGTACCTTTTCCATTCCCCTCTTAAAGGTATCACAATGACCCTCCAACCCAAACTAAGGCGTTACTAAGCAAGCCGGCTATTTGCTAGTTTATCCTACGCCTGAGAAATATTGACAAGGTCCATGAGACTGCATTGACGGAAATTGGAAAAGTGGCTCATTCTTAAAATACGAGTACTTTAATAAACTCCGATCGGCGATAACATTTTTCAATCTTCCCCATAAAATCCTCAATCCAATTCGGATAGTTTCCTTAACCGCCATCGTTTTAAATACTTTTTTTCGGATTTCCAACACTTTATTTTCTACCTATAATATTTCACTGTTTACTCTAATATTCCCCTATTTCTCCACAGGCAATGGCACGCTAATCGGCGCCTCAGCGAATGTCGTTTGCGCAGGTGTAGCCGAACAGCATGGCTACAAATTCACTTTTCTCGAATTTTTCAAGTAAGTTGGCAACACTGACTATTAATTTATTTAAAGAATTAAAACAAATATATATCACTTTTCCATAGGGTCGGCTTTCCAGTTATGATTGGCAGCATTATTGTCTCCACTGGATACCTACTTTTCACGCATTGCCTATTCGCCTGGCACTGATCGACACCGCTTGCCTGAATTGGCAATTAATTGCAGTGAGAATACAAATACATACCTCGAATAAGAAAAGCATTGCAGGAATTACAACGTCAAGCGAAAAGAATAAAAATCGAGCTTTTAGCAACAATCACACTATTAGGTTTTGTGTCAACGCCGTTATTTGTATGTACATATATATAAGAGATATGTATGTAGTACACATCACCACTAGGATACGCATATAAAACATCCTTATGAGTAAATCAATTGAAACAAATTTTTTATTAGAAATATTTAATCTTTGTATTCTAAAAATTAACTTAGTGTGAGAAAAAGATTTTCTTATTGCTGCAAAGCGTCAAGAAAATTTATTTTAAAACTTTTAGGGAAAATTATTAAAAAAAATTTAAGAAAATTTAACGCTTTGTTTAACGTTTTTTGGTGTAAAAAATATTACGAGTATAAATATTAAATCGCAAAATTAATATCATTCTAAATAACAAACGAAGCATAAATTTAAGTGTAAAAACAACAAAAAACTTATAACTACTAATATTGAATTTAAAAAAGGGCAAACGAACAGAAATAGAAGAAGAAGCAGAAAAAAACAAAATTATTTTTACACCTGTTGTTACTTTAGTCAATAGTCTATGGGAAGTATGTAAAGCAGCAGCGTAGAAGCTGAATTGAATGTGATGCAAAGTATTTTGGCGCACCGAGCACGTATAATCCGTTGGCGTGCAATGTTGTGCATTAATTTATGACCAGTATGTATAGTAAAGTAGCAAAATTTTTATACACGAATACACTTGTTGAGAAAACAATATGAAGCTACTGAAGGCTAAATACGGAGAAGTGGCCATTTTGAAGTGCTGTAAATTTTTTAATATTAATAAATTATATACATACATACATATTTCTGTTTTGTTTCGTATTAGTATTTTTGTTAATATTTTTTTTTTTGGTATTTTTCTTGCTTATCTTCATTTCTTCGACATTTTTTCTTGATAAGTATTACCAATTATGCATATATTTAGAAATGAAACATACACTCCATAGCACATGAATAGGGACAATGCTTTTTCGCTTTTATTTGTTGGTAATTTTTCTTTCAATTAATTATTATTATTTTTTAATTAAAAATACAGTGCACTCTTTAAAAAAAACCATGCAAACGAAAGTTTCAAGCATTGTAATAAATTAAGAAAGATTCATCAAATTTTCCTTAAAATTTCAAACTTTTTTCTCACAATAGGTAGAATTTTTCTGGGTATGCAGTTTGTACCCCTTTCAATTTGAGTATAATTAACTGGAAGTTGGAAGTAGCAAAAAATTACCGTTGATTTTTGAACGCTTCACAATTTTTTTATATGGAAAATATTGTTTAAGAGCATCAGTTTAAAAAAAAATCAGAAATTAACTGTAATTTGTAGCTACCTGCACTAAATACCAAAAAAAAA